GGGGGTAGGGGCGGGGGTAGGAGGAGGAGCGGGTTGGTGGGCAGTTTGGGCTGCAGGGTGGGTGCGGGCTGCGGGTGGACCCCTCTAGGACCACTGGCTTCCAGTGCCTTGGGGATGGGGGCGCTGTGGGCGGGGCGAGGACCGCGGGTTCTTACCTGCCTCCGCTTGGAGGCTGAAGCTCAAGTTCGGTGAACATTAAGTCCCTCTCGAGGTGAACCAGGGAGGAGGGAAAGCGAGGCATTTTAGGTCAGTCTTTTTTGTTCATCGGTGGCACCTGCATTGCAAAGACGTAGTGCAGGTTTTCAAGTTTAATAAAACACTTTTTCCTTTAGAAACTGTGGGCGGCGGGGTATGGGGAGGGAAAGGAAACCTTTGGCAGAACGGAGGGATTTGAGAAAGGGGATCTGGGGACCAGCTTCTGTGAGAGAAGTTTCGAACCTAAATGGGAAAATAAAGTTCTTAAACCGTCTTCATCCTTTTTTTTTTTTTTTAAGGTGTGGGGCGGGGCCAGGTAGGAACCTTCATTTTCCTTTCTCTTTTCACCAACCAATTAGTAGAAAGCGGCTTATTAGCAGCTGCAGCAGAAGCACTTGCTTCGTATGTAGGCAATGGGATAGGGAGAAAATTAGCTGGAAACTCCCCTTCACCTCCATCTCTCCTCATAGGGTCTAGTGAGATCAGTCTGGGACTGCTCAGAGGAAGTTTAAATGATTTGTGAAAAGCCCTGACATCTAGGATAATAAGGTGTTAGTAGTAAGTAAGGAGGAAGCCCGGAGTTGTGAACACGTTAGGAGCAGGTATTGCGGAAGATGGATCATGAGGACGTCTCACACCAAAGGAAATCATAAGGCAAAGAAAACGGAAGAGAAACTCACGTTTCCTCTTGATCAGTGGGTGTTAGCTACATTGTCATTTCCAAGTGGAAGATGCCAAAAGTTTAGTGAGAGTAATTTTCCTGACAGTTGGGCAGGGAATATGCTATTACAATGAGACTACAGTCAGCTCCAAGGTTGTGACAGTGACCAATAAACTCTTCCCCAGATAGAGTTTTAGGAAATATGTTTAATTACTCCATAAAAGGAATCATCTAAATCATTAAAGACTTAAGTGCCAGAATATTCAGTCCTGCCCAAGTCAAAAATTAACAGCAAGCGACTTTTCAGTTACAAACAGCTACATAGAAGAGGATGACTAAATACTGCATATTCCTTCTCCAAGCTGCTGATCCAATAACCAACATGAAATTTAGTATCTATGATGGCTATTTCACTTTATTCTCTGTGCCTATTGTAATTTCTTAAACATAATAAGGCTCAATAAATATTTGTGGAATGCACTGTTCAGTTAATCATGTTTACCATATTATATTTATTAAGCTACCTGGAGACAAGCTCTGAGATGTAGAATTTCAGCCACCTTCTCAGCTGACATCATGTGGGATCTGGACTTTGAAATGAACCTGAGGATGTTAGTGCAGCAAGGAACTTTAGGGTTAGGTGAGTTAACCTATTTGTTTTCTCTTGAAAAACAGAGAGGGATGGTAACTTTCCTAAGATCACACAGCCTGTAGAGCTAGGATACAAATGCATCATCTTCTGACTCCTAGTCCTGTCTAGGATGGACACTAGCTCTTAGAGAAAGAGCAGCCTAAAGGACACATAATATTATGGAAGTCGATTTTCATTAGGAGGAAAAGTATCAGGAGAGGCACTGCAGTGGTGTGAGCAGAAGTCCTTTGCAGCCTCTTAGCTCCAGCTCTAGGAGCTCATAAGGGCATTCCATGTGAGTTGGCAATGCCAGAACTCTCAGATCTAGAAATAGCCAGTGCTAATATTAAAGTCTGTTCTTCCTTGTGGTTGTTCATCCTGAAGGCTCTAAGGAATAATTCATCTGTCCTTTTTCTGCATTCCTGTGAAGCAGGCCCTTCTTCATAATAATGAAGTCAAAATCCAGAGTTAAAATTTTAACTAAAAGCCAGGAACCTGAGATTGAAAATGATCTTGTCTTTTTGTCCAAAAAAGTACTACTTTTCATGTGTTTCCTTGTGGGAGCACTGCATGATCAGGGCAAGTAAAACCTGTGAAATAGTCTGGTTTTTCAGGGCACTGTTTGATTTTAGTGTGTGGGAGGGGGCTTTCCATAGAATTTCACCAATGTGTTTGCTTGGAGAAGAGAGTCAGAAGGCCTGGTGAAATTTAAAGTCCTTTAGAAGGAGTCATTAAGGAGAGGAAGTCTGTGAAGAAAAGAAGACAGTCTGAAATCCCCACTAAGAACCTAGTTTTATTTGCTCTGAGCCATTTTATCCTGGCTCTTGTATTGCTGAGTCTGTAAGAAAATGGGCAGAGGATGCGGATGTGTGGTTTACACAGATGTAGTTACATTCACACCCTTAGCAGGTTCATAATGGCAGGCCTGATATTCATCAGCTAACTCAGCCTTGAGCTCCCTGGTGCCCACACCCACCTGGGGGAGAAGAATGTCACTGACCATCATGAGGAAAAGCATACACACCCACACACCGCTGCTCAGCTCAGCTCAGCGATGGCCATAACTCCCAAGCACACTTGGTGATCCAGCTGGGGAGTGGCCGCATGGCTGCCACACTGTGGCTGACAGTGGGGAGGCTGACAGGTGGCTGCTCTGACCCACCTGAATCAAGCCATCCTCCATCCGTGGTCATCCACACCCTGCTTATAGAGCCACTGTATCCTACCTCCTTGGAAGAAGAGCCCCCAGGACCAGGGCTCTCTCCACACTGCCTCATCTTTGGCAGGACCTCTGAGTGTGTAGACTAAGCCCCACAGATGGAAGCAAGCCTTCCGGATGTCTCAGGAGACATTTTACTGCATCTGCAAAAAGCTGGCCCCCCAGCTTCAAATGGAGCCCGCCCACATGAAATTGTTGCTCTCTGTGCCGCAGAAAGCAGCTATTGGACCGTATTGGCTGGCTTCCCTGGTGCCTCTGACCGTGTGGGTAGATCTAGGGCTTGTGTGTGCCTTCCACAAAATCAGGGTTGCCATCTGTGCTACCTTTTGGCACCTCCAGAAAAGGTGGCTTGACCAAGGAGGTCATGGAGAGGTCCCGATGTGTGCTGGGGCTACTGGAAGCACATGTAAAAGAACTATCTGAACAGCTGTCAGTGCCTTTCAGTAATTCTTT